TACCCTGCTAAATGCACCAGAATGCACCAAACCTCACAAGGGTACCCTGCTAAATGCACCAGAATGCACTGGTGCATATTGGTGTATTGTGCAGTAAACTAATTTATGTCACTCTCGGTACCTCTAGCTACCCTGCTAAATGCACCTGATTGCACCAGTGCATTCTGGTGCACTAGTTGCTGGGACGTAAATGTAAAACTTTTTTTAGTGGCTCAGTTTTGGGGTGCACTGCTTTGTGTCTTACCACCAAGTATCAGCTTTGCCATTTTTCTTTTTAATTTTAATTTTTTGTGCGAGTGGATTTCTCTTGTTTTTTTTCCTGACATTTTATTTTTGGGTTTTTCTTCATCTGGTGTCTTTCCAGAAAAATTGTTTATTTTTGGCTTTATGTGGTGCCTTTCTAGAAAAACTTTACTTGGTATTTTTTCTTGGTGTGGGTTTTTGTACCATCTCTTTCTTTTCTTTTTGTTTGGAAAACATTTCTTTGACAAATCATTTACTGTCTCTGCCTGATTGATGGGTTAGGGGTTGGCCATGTTGTCTACTGGTGTCCACCGTGGAACTTGATGAAGCATGGGCCTTCGCATAGGTGAACATTACTGGTGAGACACACCCATGACGTGTCACGGCCACCCTCTTGCCCTTACTGCTGGTGGTCTTGTGCTTAAGGCACCATCCACACTGCTTGGAGTACTTGTGTGGCATGCGTTGTCTGCGGTGAAGGGGCGCACTGCTTGCAGAAAGGGGTGGAGTGTTGGATTGACTAGGGGCACTGCCTCTGGAGTAGCCACCGATGAGACCCTTGCCTACTGCCATCACAAATCTGGAGTGCGTCATGGTGCCCCACCTTGGCATCGGGCTGTCCAAAGTCATCCGCTGATGCTGATAAGGATGAGATGTGGCCAGAAAGGGGGTCAGGATGGTGTGCATAGCAAAGCCATGCATTGACACGGCACACATCAACAAGAAGATACAGCAGCTTCTTCCAGCAGTGCTGTGATTTGCGGGAGCCTGTGTTATAGGACCGGAGCTGGTTGGCCCGATCCACCCCTCCCATGCAGGGACACTAGTCTTCTTTCTCTTCCCACTCTCATCCACCACCTTTCTGATGACCTGGTTACTGTCCTTATCTCTGTAGCCTTGGTGGGCGGAGCTCACCAGCATCGTGACTCAGGAGTCTTTCCAGGCCACAAGGGTCAGCTGATCGGCTTGCCTAGAATAGAACGTGTCACGTGGCATTTTGTTCAGCATCTCCATCTTGAGGTAATGCATTGGATTCTTATCCGGGTTATTGTTGAAGTCACGGGGGAGGTCTTTGCTGCTGGATATGATGACCCCAGTTAGATATGTCTTGCCTTGAAGGAGGCACTGGGCAAGCTCCAGGAATGAATACAGCTTGTCAGTGAAAATGTGGTGGTACAGCCCCGGGAATGGAGTGGCTACCATCATGGCGATGTCCTTCATCTTCACCGGCTGACCGTGCCTATATGGAGGGACGATGAAATTTGCCAAGTAGCCTGTGGTAGAATCTGCAATTGCATACAACTTGAAGCCATTCCGGGTAGGTTTCAAAGGCATGAAGAACTTGCAGACCTTGCCTTTGAAGCCTGAACACTTCACCATTGCTTCATCTTTTGCCAGGTTTCTGCAGAGGTTGAAGTTCACCCTGCACTTTGCAATGACGGTGTCCCAAATAGGCTGCAGATGGTAGAGAGGGTGCTTTGCCATACATCGATACTGATGGGCTTTGTCAGTAAACATCTCTGGCTTTTTCTGGGGATACTGCTCAGGGTTGGTGGTGGGGTTAGAGCAGGCCAGGTGTTGACTAAGAAAATCGAAGCGGCTCCTGGTCATGGTGGTTGATATCAGGCGATTGAAGTAACGTGGCTCCGGTGACCAGTAGTCCTGGTAGTGGGGGATGCGAACGAAGCCCATCAGGATATGGATCCCAAACCATGCTCGTACCTCATCCACTGTTGTCAAGAGTTGGCTGCCTGCATTTCTGATATTTCTGTTTGTCCAATTGGTGATCTGCACAAACAGAGCAACTGGGAGAAACATCAGAAAATATTTTACTGGTGCTCCAATGCGCTTGAATGCTGGCTCACTCGGTTGTCTGCCATGAACTTCTTGCACTGTGATCTTATGCAGTGACCGACACCATCCAAACTCATCGACATCATACAGCTCATCATCAGTGCTTGGCAAGTCAGGGTCATTGTCCGAATCTGGTATGGGGTAGGGCTCGTCTTCGTCTTCTGCTTCTTCATTGGTCCTGCCACCTACTCATCTGCCTCCATCTCATCTGCCTCCATCTCGCCTGCATCCTCATCTTCCTCCCAAATCTCCTCTTCCATGGACTCCTCTTCATGTTCTTCATCCTCTCCAAACTTCAGCCCCACTTAGCTCCCTTCATCCATCACACACCCATCACTTTCTTCTTCAGCCTGCAGCTCCTCCACTACCTTGTATCCGAGTCTTCTGACTCGGACACATCGACTTTGGCTCTGAAGTTGTCCAGTATCGTTGGTATGTCTGCCTCAATGCAGCTTCTCCTCAGGGTTTCTTTCAGGATCTATCTCTCTCCTCTTGCTTCTTTCTTTCCTGGTAGGCAATCTTGTATCTTTTATCAAGAAGCCCCTTGCCCCCAGCCTTTGATTTGCCCTTTCCTCCACTCGCCATTGTATGAGGACTCTCGGATTTCTCAACTCGTTTTCTTTTCCTTCCACCAGCCACCATCTTCATGAAAATCTCGCTCTCCTCACTATGCAAACCTTGCTGTAGATTTTTTACTTTTCTATTTGACATAGTTGTTAACTTGTCGGTGGTTGGTACCAAAGTTAAACGGGTTCACAGTTTCGAGTGCTTTATGTATATTCTCTTTTTATTTACATTTAAATGCAAACGTTTTTTGAAAAGAATAATTTTACTTACCGTTTCATATGCATATACTTACGTTTGGGTAATACTTACGTATACATAAACATTGTGTTTTAAAAATTACATTATGCATAATATTTGTACTTACCCTTGCTGAATACAGTGCAGTTGTCCAACCTTGGATTATGTATATTGAAATAAATTGTGATGCCCACAAAATGCAATACATATATTATGTGTCTCCCCCAAGCAACTTTGCAATACATACACTAGCGATACATACTTAGCAAAAGGTAATAGACAAGCAACTCCAAAAAATACACTTCTTAAGGGCAACAGATTTGCTTGTGTATACTTTGTCAGACCCTGCCGAATACACCAGAAAACCTAAGGTACACCAAACACCAAGCCTGCTAAATGCACCGGATTGCATATCACCAGAAGACTTGCGTTGCCTGCTAAATGCACCAACTTCCAACAACTTTTTTACCTCTGGTGTATTCTGGTGCATCAGGTGACGTTATTCGTGTATCTTTACACGAAGGGCGTGTCTGAATCGGTTGGCTGCGGCTTAATATTATGCATAATTCTATGGGAACTGGCTGTGGATGCTGCCAGATACTCGGTGTAATTCCCACCGATTCGGACCAGGGCCCATGTCTGTGAACCAGACAAATGAAGTGGTCTTACGTCCTGCTTACGTATACAAATTGGAAACGCTTTTAAGCAACAAACCGTGAGGGGCCAGTCTATTTCAGTGTCGGTGACATATGGACATATGATGGATAGAACCCCCCCCCCTTGTGTTGGTCACTGTTCGATCGGAATCTCAGGAATTCTTTACAGACTTCTGGGGGATGTGTAATGTAACAATGGTCTACAGTGTGTATAGGGATTGGGCATGTCGGGGGTACTCATCGGCCCCATATCGTGCACGGTATCGTCGGTGAGGCAGTGGCGGTACATACGCATGTAGTACATGCAGTGGTGATAGACATCGCGTTATGACAACCATACATTATAACGACTTATGCATCGTTACTTGACAAGAACAAAGGTAGATTAGAGTGAGAGGAGATTTTATTTTCGGAGCTTAATTTTTCCCCAATATTTTATATTCAACTTATTTCTTATAAGCTAAAACAGAAAAAAGTGTGCCCAGTACATCATTTACCTCATGAGAATAGAAGCCTCATGTTTGAGTGAGATGACTGAAATCATTGCCGTCATATCTAATAGTCTTTTTATTCATTCAAAGTTGTTTAATTCACACTTTTCATAGTAAAAAGGCCGTGCGCTCTAAAGTATAGGCCTATGTGTATTTACATCACTTCTAAGTAAAAAAAGAGGGGGAAAAAACTGCATCACCACTTTTGGATTAAGCCCGTGACTTGAAGCCCGATTTTTTTTGGGGGGGGGGCTAAAAAATTCACTCAATACAACACTATGGCAAATCGACCAATATTGTGGCACAATTAAAACAAGAACAAAAAGACCATTAAGACAAATCTCGATATATCACCAGGCCAACTTCAAAATACGGTGTCAAGGCAAAATATACGTCATTAAGGCTAAATAATGCCACCGAGGCTCAATAATGCCACAAGGCTTCAGCAATGACACAAAAAGCTAAATAATGCCACCAGGGGTAAATAATGCCACAATGCTCAATAATGACGCAAGGCTAGATAATGCCACCAAGGCTGACTAATGCCACAAGGCTTCAGCAATGACACAAAAAGCTAAATAATGCCACCAGGGGTAAATAATGCCACCAAGGCTCAATAATTCCACAATGCTCAATTATGACGCAAGGCTAGATAATGCCGCTAAGGCTCACTAATGCCACCAAGGATGACTAATGCCACAAGGCTTCAGCAATGACACAAAAAGCTAAATAATGCCACCAAGGGTAAATAATGCAACCAAGGCTAAATCTTTATTTGTATGGGTAACTCAGTTTTAAAATTTTACACAACAGAGAGGATGCACGCCCAGGTATTACACCAAGTGAGGTCCTTAACCGAAAGTAGTTTAAACCTTAAGGTTCTCCTCGAGATGGTTCCAGTCCATAATTGTTCTGTTAAAGGATGAGTTTATAAGTTGGTCTGTGTTGCACCAGGATAACTTGAAGCACTAGGAGTTGACGGCGATGGAGCTTTTCATGTAATGGTGAGGGTGAACCATCAATCTGTCTTGGTCGTATTATTCTATCTTGTTTTCTGGGCGTTCATTGACGCTGAAGTGCATTCCCCGCTGATGAGCCCAGGTTTTCTAAGCCTTTCTGTAAAGTGATGTGGTCATTCCTCGAGTTGACTTTGCGGCACAGCACACAGTCATATGCAAAGGGTGAACCTGGGATGTAACACTGTCTGAGAGTCGTAGAGGGGCACACGTGGTCCCAACACTGTTCCTTGGTAACTCCAGAGCCAACTGGTACTCTGACGCTACACCTTCCAGTACGACTTTCATGTTACACTGCGTGAGGCAGCACGTAAGCCACTGGTGTAGTATCCCTTTGGTGCAGCGAGATGTTTGGTCTGTCTGCAACAGAGCATAGGGCTTTTCCGCATAACTGTGTATCCTATTATGGAGTTTTCAGGATATGAGGTCAAATACTTCCGAAAGATCCAAGAACCACTGCGGAATCTATGGTTTAGGTGTGTCAGCATATTATTTTTTTTAACTCTGTGCTATGATTTGCCTGCAGATCATGTACTCAAGCTATATCACAGATGTTAACGAGATAGACCGGTTTTCAGCGAGATGGTCATGGATGGATCAGTGGGGGGGGCAACGTATTTGGAAGAGGTTGAAAATTGAGACATTTTTCTGTGTGACCTTTTCTGGCATTTGTCAGGGGTGAGGCTAGATTTTGCGGGGTTGTACACGCTTTTCGAAGAAAGGGGAATGACATTGACAAAAAATCGTCTTTCTCTTATTTTTCAAAAAAGAGGTTCCTTCTACAGATTGTGACTGACGGAGTGTAATTTACTCATCCCTTATAACGTGACCCAGTTACAGAGAAATAGAGAGGTCATGTGCTTGACAGTCTTCATGCTGAACCCAGAACCCGAGGAGAGGGGATATCGGCTCATACTCGCCTTCAATCGCGATGAGTTTTATGGAAGGCCCACCAAGGCGTCTGAGTTCTGGGACAGGAATCATGAAATCATTAGTGGTAAGATACAGGAATGTTTCGATATTTTAAAAACTTTGATAAAATGAGTTTCGACTGTAACTTGCATGAGAAACCATAAGAACTGCTAAAAGTGTGGGATTTAAAAATTAATACAACCTATTTGCATATTCTCGAGTGATAAGTCGAAAGCAAGAATCACAAGCATAAACGTGTTGAAGGAAAGATCAGGAAAAGATAGATCTGAGGACCGTGTAAACGCTCTGTTAATCGCCTATCTTGGTGAGATTTCTGATTCCTCTAAAGTCCCCAATTGCGCCTGACATCAATGGCACGGTAGGTTGGATTTCTTCATCCTGGAGAAGCATCAAGTTTCACAATTTTAGTAATACATGAAGGTGCTTACCTTCGTCGGTCGTTAAGGATCTTGCACATGAAGGATCGGTGTTTCACGTCGTCTTAGACTAGAGTCTTGAACTAGATCCGTAGTCTAATTCTGCTTCCAATTTTTCCAAACTCATTTTCAGACAGAACGCTTACGTTTTGGTTGGCAGGTCAAGATATGCGGGAAGGAAAGGAGGGTGGGACGTGGCTAGGGATGAGTCGATCAGGAAGGCTAGCAATGCTTCTGAACATCATTCAACCGGACGGTATTAACCCTGATGCTAAAGGGAGAGGTAGCGCTATACGTATCAATCTTTATACCAACTGTCAGAATACAAACCAAATCAGGGAGAGTGTCATGCGGCTAAGTTGGTTGATCTCCTTTAAGATGTCGGGGGTCGAATCGAGATTTAGTAAATTTCAAGATTCAATAAAAGTTCGTATAATTTGCTTAATTTCCGCTGTGTATACGAAGGCCAATAAAGGATTGTTTTTCTTTTTTTATGTCATTCTGAAAAAAAATTGAAACGTTTCCAACTTTGGGAATACTAAGAATTCAATTTTACAACGATTTATTGGAACCATCGCAGCAGAAAAAAATGATTGGCTTCGTAAGTCAGATAAACTTAACGTTTTACGGTTGCACAAATTACGTTTCGCAGATCTCGTGCCTTTTTCTTTGGCAAGACTATTGGGGATTAAATTGTCCCTGATTCAGATTCTTCCTGTAAAATTGAGTTTATTATAAATCTTTGCTCGTTACTCTATCCTCCAAATTCCGTTCTGCGGCATGCATGAATTATTGTCATCGTTAAATATCACGCGTTTGAGGCAAGCGGCATGAGTATATAAGTTCGACCTTCTGATTGCACTTTTTAAATGGGGCAACTTCAACAAATTTCTGTCCACTTTTCATAGTCAATTTGCCCCAAAAACCAGTGCTGTTTTGTTTTCTTCTTTTGTTTTGGTTGTTTTGTTTTTAACCTGTTTTTGTTTTGTTAAAATGTTTCACTGAGCTCTGTCGTTTAATTTTTCGATTACTCAACAGTTCAACTAATTTATTTATATACAGGTGTTTTTTTTTTAAAATTAATGATGGCTGCAATCGCCAATTGAGATCACCGCTGGTCAATCTTGAATGCCCCAATTGCAATATCCAGGTGTTACATGTATAAGTTTATTTCTTTGGAAGATTTGGTGCATTTACCGAAATGCACAATGCCTAATACACCTGAGCAATGCCGCTGCTCTGTGTGAAAAAGCTTTCAAAACCATTTGTGTAACGAAATAACATACACATAGACAGGGTTTCTATCATAAATTAAACGATTCGAGAGAAGGGAGGCTGAACGCTCACCTTGTGGTGTTGGAGGAATGTGACCAGTGGTGAAAATGCCCTTTTAGAATGATTTCATAATTTTATTTACCGAGAGTTTTATTGCTTGATTAGCGCTTTGTTTTAAGAAATCTTTAGGAATAATGGGGACACCGCAGTTTGGTTCGCAATGGCTAAACAATGTAGGGAAAAGGATCGGATTAAGGCGAAATCTTTAGTTTTTGACTGAAATATTTGAAACATTTTCGTTCATTGAATATACCCCTCAATTCTTTGACAGCTTTCCACATCTTTGTTCAGGTTTCCTTGTGACAAAGTTTCTCCAACATAGCCGGGACGGCCAGACTTACCTCCAAGGTGTGGTAAATGAGCGAGATTTATACAACGGCTTCAATCTCATAACTGTAGAATTCAGGTAAGCATAGTCAGGCTATGTAAGTATGATCCCTAAACTCATGAGCAAAGTAAGTGTCATAAAACACGTCTTTCCCAGGAAGAAATTAAAGATTTTAACGTGAATAACAACGAGCCAGTTGTCGCCATTTTAAAGAAAACCAATTCTATTTGAACGAAACTAAAAACCACTGAATATATACGCTTGCAAAAACAAGTGCATGTAATTACGGATTAAATTATTACTAATTATAAATTGCGAAAGGATGAAGCAGTCGAGTGCTTAAAACAAAACAAAAACATAAAATTGCAAGGCTGTCATTTGGTCTCTTCTTGATTTGGTTCTCTGGTGTGTTAAGACATACCATAACGACTCAGAATACTATGAAGTCATGCGCTCAAAGACATGCGGGATAAATTGTGCAGGGTGTATGGACGTCATCAGTAGGTCAGTTACGTCAGTTAATATAGAAAACCTCGAATGAGTGTTAAAGGTATAACTCTGTATGTCAGAAGAACATAGCGTTTTTATGTCAATGTTAGTGGCGCAGATTTCAGTTTTTCGGCAGTTCATCAAACCAGTGTTTTGGGATGAAGTGTTCGGAGCCCAGCTTTTGCCACTGACATACAGGACAGAAAATTACACTGGAGGCATGTTTAAAGTGCTGTATAAGCCTAACTGCGGCCTTTATCACCTATAGGAAAAATAGAAGCATTGATGCCAACTACTACACAAATTACGGTCCGGAGACGACGCATCCTATCAAACTGAAACCAGGTGGGTGCTGTACTCTATAACTATTTGTCTCTAAATCGTCATGGCCACCTCATCCATGCGCAAGTACTATTTTCGTTAGACACCCTAACAATTACATGATGCTTTGAACGAAATAATCTATTACAATATACAATTCTCACTGTTTGATATTTTTAAATTCAGCACGGACAGAATTAGGGACGGCCCAGATTTATTCCAGAATCTTTTTTTTTTCAGGCATACATGCATTTTCAAACCACACCATACACGATACATCATGGCCAAAGACAGATCACGTGAAAGCAGAATTTGAGAAAATAATTCTCAAATCATCGAATCTTACCAAGTACGAATTGACTGAAGAGCTACTGGCAATGATGGCGCGTGACATACCGTGAGTAGATGCTCCATCGTACATGCTCAAAATCGAGGAAAATTGAATAAAATCTTACACTTACGTAACCAAAGTGTAATATTTTCGAACACAGCATTTTAGCATTTTATATCAAATCTAGCATTTTAAATTTACATCAAGCATATATAAGGATGTGTTTAATGCTGATTTAACAATTTCAAGGGAAACGTATGCATTAATAACACGTACATTGTTGAATGTCCTATTCGGATGTATAATAAAAATGATAATATTTATTCGGGGCAACTGAACATGCAACTAGACAATCACAAGACGCAGCGGGCCGCCCAGGAGAACATAAAAGTTTAAAAATAAACTGTCGCCAAAAGGCGCATGTCTCCCAAAATCCAGATAGAAAACTAAGGCAAGAAAGAGCGCAAGAAATACTAATCATTAAGATAAAAAATATGGCAATGGGTCAAAAAGAGAGCCTAGCCAGCAAAGTGGTCCTTCGGCTCACTCAAAAACTGACGGAGAGAGGCGCATATCAGATTATTAGCCAAGTCACTAGTCAAGGTGCTCCAAATACGAGCGAAATGCCAAGGGGTAGAGAATTGAAATACGTCAGTGTGGGCAGGCAAATGATGAAAGACAAGTTTAGTATTGTGACGCGACAGAGGGCGCTAGTCACTAGGTGCGGCACGTGCTCTGCCCAGTAAAATAACAGAGGCAGATGCTAGGCGCGCATAGCTGTGTATTAAGCTAAGCGAGCGCGGCGCATAGGCTCCGCCTTGTACGTTGTACGATAGGGTAGCGAAAGTCACTGCTTGGTCACGTGAGCGCGTGCACGGGCGTGGTCACAGCAGCGCGAAGGCTATAAAAGGCGCGCGCAGGCGCTATACAGGCAAGGCGTAAGATTTAGTCGCCCTGATGAAGGGTTGAACCTGAGGTTAGGGTCGAGAATCCTATGAAAGGGTTAAAGTCACCTATCCTAGTGTGACTGTGCCTAAATCCCGAGTAGTGCGTGTGTCGTTGAGGGGCTCGGTAGGTTGAGGGGCTGATTGGTGGTGCGGTATAGTTCCTGATAGGAGCTTGCGGCCGATGCTAGGGCGGCCGCGGATTGCTATCTCATGACGTGAGTTGTGTGTAGCACAGCCCTGACACGTAAGCCCCGTAGACTTGCTAAAGTCCCTGATTCGGCACTGGGTGCCCACAATTAAAAATTGTGGTGTTCGCTGTTTTGGGCGAAGTCCAGTCACGTATAATCACACAGTCTCCCCCGTCAATAGCACCCTCTGCTGGTATATTGATTGAGTGTGTTGATGAATAAACCAGCCGCTTATTAATTGTTGTATATAGTCAGGTGTCCAGGCGAAGTTTATTTCAAGCCGTGTCTGTCCGGGTTACGTCATTAAGTTTCGACCAATCAGATAAGCCATCATCTCGACGAAGACAAACTTTCTTGGGGGACGGTACCGGTATACTTCGGTCCCAACGGACTCGTCCCTAGTAGCCGCTCAGGCACTATCCGGCGTGCCGTCCGACGCGCCGCGGCTCGAGGAGGGCGCCCTCGCCTTCGTCGGAGGGCGCGGCGTCACAGTATCCACGTGTCTAATGTTAACAAGTAACAAATTGAAAAAAGGATTTGACACTTCAAATACTGGACTGAGCATTTCAAATGCTTGATTCAACATGTCACTTTCAACGTATCACAGACGGCACACAGTCATGCAGGCCTAATGTTGGATTTAACACTCCATTTTTATCATGTACATCAGTTGAGTTTATTCTTAAGTGCATTGTCATTCAGATATGATTGTATGTATTGACTTGTGTGATTTTTCAATGGATTTTCCCCCCATGACAATTATAGTCATCTGTGCAGATAGAAGCCTCGACTCCCCCCCCCAACAAGATGGTAGTACTGTTTTTAAAATGTTGTTGTAGTTAACCTACCCCAACTTGGCAACAACACCGGGGCCCCAGCACCCCCCCCCCGTCCACGCGGGACACGCATGTGTCACGATGGGTCGGGGTGTGTGCGTGTGTGTCAGGTGCTGCTAACATTTTGATAAAAATGATTGCTAAGACAGTTTTAATCCTTAGAGCGCCTCAATCGAGCGCTTACCCTTTCAATTTTTCCCTTCGTGTTTGTCAGGATGCCTCGCCTAAATTCCAATGGTCCCTTGACTACAAAGGCGAATAGAAACTTTGACCAGGTATATAGGCCTGTAAGAGGCTTATGGAAGTAATTTCGTGTTTGTATTTTGCTTGTATTAGATTTACATCTGATGCAGATATATCAAGAGAAAACATGGACATCTTGAAGTTCAAAGAAGTGCTGACTGAATTGGTGTTTATCAAATCGAACACGTGTGGAACAAGGTATGTATTGTGAGAAGACAGGACTGAACTTTCTGCATCAAAATGTTGCGACCGTTCTGTAATATAAATGTGACAGGTTCTGAGTTTTAAGCTGATCGTATAGACAAACGTGTGGCACATGACTGTTATAAAATAGATCTTATAACTTTACATGGCACTTAAAGTTCACCATAGAGATGAACAAGTATTCTTCAGAGTGCAACCACGCAAATAGGCCAGGAATGAGGTGTGGAGAGGATGCTAACTCCGGATCCAACTAAAGTCGCTTGGGTGCTGGAAAACCAGTGGGGCGTGTCAATCTGAGGGAGGGGTGTGTGGGGGGGGTAACCTGACGACAGACAGTGTATACTGTATACACACATTACGTTATGTGGTGGTGTCAGTCCACATGCTGAACAGTGATATTGTTGCCCCAGCAACGAATCCATCAAAACAAGTTCAGGATTTCGAGGGCAGTAAATATGACTTGTTTAGAATTTAAAGAACATAATTCCTTACTTTTTCTTGCGATTTCTCATGCATATTCTTCCAGGTCTATGACTGTTATCCTGGTTGATGCAGTAGGAAACGTGTCTTTCATCGAGAAGACGTTGAAAGAACCGATTAATCCTGACCATCCCGAATGGGAACAACGGACACATACATTCTCCCTACAGTGAACTGTCCAGTGGTTTTGGCTACTGCCCTAGACTCGTGTTTAATTTCAAGCCGCAGCCTAAGTATTGAGACACAGCCTTATTAGCCAGTAGCAATACAATAGTGGGTGACAAACATATAGCGTGACGTTATTTTTACGGTGCACTTTCTATTTTTGGATCATGACCAAAGCTGTGCAGCAAGTGGAGATTTTTATGTAAAAGAATACAGGTGTCTAGAAAAAGTTAAGAACATTTCTGAATTGTGAGCATGTTGGTACATTGGCAACTAAAAGCCCAGTTTTTAGGAGGAGTTGTTTTTGACAACGTCTGCTGAATTCAAATTGTTAAAATTTGTTACTCAAAGTGTCTAAAAACTAAGTGTCTCTAAACTAAGCCTGTGGTTTTCCTCGCATCAGCAACATTTTATTCACAATTTCCCAGTTCTGCAATAAAGGTCCTGGGAAAATATTCCAAAGCAGTTGTACAAAATGTTTGCAACGGACGTAAAAATGAATTGGAGCAGACTGATTGCGTAGTAAAACAAAATTGCATTGCAGAGACCCTTTATGATGGCTTATTTGAGAATGCAAAATCTGATTTTCGGCGAACTCAGAAGTAAAATAATGGGAGAATATGTTATAGCGAGTTAATTCTGTCTAATATCCCAAGATTAATGCTACAACTGTTCCAATAATTGGGTATCTCCCAAGGAGATGTCCGTTTATTGAAACAGTATCCCGCGTCAGTGGGTATACAGTCTTGTAGGTGTCGTTCTGCTTGTTCGCTCGCTTGCTTGTTTGTCTTCCTTTTCTGTCTTTTTAAAAGAGAGATTTATTTTTGATACAGACTCACATTTCAAAGTTACTGTCCTGTTTTTTAGTTTAATATCAAGTGGTTCAAGAATATTACACGTAGGCCTATTACTTTGCATAGTATTTCGACCCTTTTGTGGAGTAGCTTGGACTCAGTTTCATTCCAAGCATCCGTAATTCTCTTATTAATATAAAGCCTAATTTTGCCATCCTCTGAGCTGTAATGATGTATAGCATTTATATTGTAATTGTACATGTAATTGTACATGTATGCAACTGTAGTTATCCCTGTAGGGTGCAATAAGCATTAGTATTCAATTAAGCTGATTTGAAATACTCTGCAAGGCATGCAAAGAAATTAAGCTGGTCCTGTAGCAGTGAGTCATTCCGGTTTCTCAGAAGGTAGATGTACAGTACTTATTGATGGATTGATTTATTTTTATACTTTAATCTTTTAGCATTTCCACTCTGTTTGCTCTTTTTAATCTAATTGTACATTTTTAAACGTGTAACTGGCATGTTATTGTAGTGTTTGCTCTGTAGCAGTGGTGATTTGATGTGTATTTACATCCAGTTTCCTTTTTAATTTTGATGTAATATGCTGTCTTGTATAATTTTGTTTTTTCGGTGAATGTTAAATATCTTTAGTTTTTTATCTAGCTCATGTACAGTTTACCCTCAGGGCCACGTCATGTGTTGAACACCAACTAAAAACAAAAATTGGGGTTTTAAAATGATAAATGTGATTTTCGAGGATTTTTTTTATTGTATCGAGTAAACTGCATGTGCCCATGACTTAGTTTTTTATGATACCACAACTTAGTAATCAAACCATGGTCAAACCGCTTTTACGCACTCAATAACCGCTGCCCAAAACATTAACAGGTCGCACGTACAACCGGGCGCCTGTCTGGTTAATGGACTCATTGGCTAGCTCGTCGCCCAGCTGCGCGCGTCGTCGTACCCGCTGGGTGCAGTCCACTAATTCC